AAAAAAATCTAAAATATTATAATTTTTTTTATTTTGCAACAAAATATTTTTTTTGAATTATATTAAACGTAACATATATACTATTACGTAAACGTATTAGTTATTCATATCATAAAATTTTAAAATCAAACTTTTGTTCATAATTTTTGATTATGAGTGGATTTAGTCTTGCACATCGTTATTACAAATCCGAAAATTGCCATTATGAAATATTTTAAAATAAAAAAAAATTATATTTAAAAACAAAATATAATTTGTAGTTTATTGGATTTATAGGGGTTTCCTTTATATGAATGCATTTTTTTAAAATTTATTTTCTAACATAAGTTATAATGTTTATCAAATTTGCCAAACAAGGTAATTTATGTATAAAATAAAGTTTCCGAAAACAAAATTTTTGAAAAAAAATTATAGTTCTAAAATTACCATAAATCTAAGCTCATTTTTATATGTAAACAGATAATTTTGATTTCTGGTTTGGCTTCTGGGTATTTTAAATGTTCACTATTGAAGGAGCTTTGTAACATTCGAATTAGATTTTATTCCGTAATAATATGATTTCTACCACTTTTATCTTTTTTTTTATTTAAATAAATTAACAAATATTTATTTTGAATTATCAAATATATATTTTTATTTGTCTTTTCCGTAAATTTTGATATTCGACCAACGTAATTTTAAAGTTAGAGGGACTTACTTGCTCGTAAATATTTAATCAGTTTATTTCTTTTCTTTGAAGAAGTTTTCAAATTTTAGATAAAATTTCTTTTTTGTGCAAATCCATACAAAGTTTGATACTAAAATTATATTTGATTTTAAAATTATATTATACGATTATATTATAAAATTATATTATAATATTCCTCCGAATTTAAAACTAAATTAATGTCCATAACTTTCAAAATTAAAAATAATTAAATAAATAACAACAATTTTGCAAAAACATTAAGAACATAAGAATATTATTCAATAAAATTTTAGGTTACTTTGAATTTTCGATTTCCTAGAAATGTACGTTTAAATCGTTACTTTTTTTGTTTAGTACTTCTACTTTTACTTGTACTTTTTGCTCGTTGCTTTTTAAAATAAGAACTTTTTACTTTTTACTAGTTACTTTTTTTAAAAATACTTGTACTTTTACTCGTTACTTTTTAAAAGTAACGTTGCCATATATGCTGTGGACTCACAGGCATATATCTATATATCACAGCGGTGTATTGATTGACCCTATGATTCTTTGTCAGGAACACACGTGTTCCGAGATGTAAAACCCGTTTGCGTTTTGCAAAACACAGATACTATTTAAAAAAAAAAAACTATAATGAATACGCTACAGGAACATCGCCTCCGTTTAGTAACAGGATTGGTCAAGCTAGTAAACCACATGCGATACCAAAAAAAAAAAAGATTTACTAAATTATGCAAGACAGAAATAGTTGCCTGTGTACTTAAAGAGAATGTGAAGAAAGATGCTTAGCAATTATAGATCCATTATTAGTGATATGCATAGCAGATTTCTAAATCTGCAATTCATGTAAAAATATATTATGCGTCGATGGCTTGGGGAATATTGGCTTTTTTTATCCAATGCATTCAATTATCTGAAGTTGGGGCTCCGCCAAAGAGAGGGTAACCATTTAGTATTCGGAGAAAAAAAATTTATCAGCTGATGTATCCAGAATCTCCTAATAATCTTGAATGAATAGTTACAAAAGCTATGCAGGGTGGGTACAAAAAGCTCCCACGCCCACATTTTTATACATTGCTTACTTTTGGTGTTTATTAAAAAAAAAAAACTGAGAGCGTTTGAGCAGAGGACGGATTAGATCGAGACATAGACGTTGGTGCTACATGTGAAGCCACATTGAGGTAAGAAACAATTTCTATGCAAGCTATTTGTTATTGTTAGTCAATAGTTCTGTTTTTATCACGTCAATACCAATTTATGAAATGAGGAATAAAGATTTTGAAGATATTTTAAAATTTTAAGTACACTGTATCTAGTCCAAAAGCTGATTTAACATATTCAGAAAGGTTGCGATTTAAATTTTTATTGATGAATGATTTCTGGTATTTTGTTCGTTATTTTAATGAAAAAAATATACTAATTTATTTTCATTTTGAAATAAGAGAACTTTTCCATCTTAAATATTGTGTACCCAATTTTTACTTTACGATTGTAGCTTGATCTGTGAATTAAAACGTAAATGTCCGCAGGGCGTATTGAGTAACTTTTTTTTCGTGAGAATCCAAATGTGTATCAAAAAATAAGAACTCTTTTAAAGGTTTTTGAAGTAGCCCTCCCCACAGGTGTTGAGATCGTATGCCAAATTCGCAAGATTTGAATTCATCTTTTGAAAATATTTCATATGTATTTTTAGATTTCTAATCCAAGAAATATTTTTCAAGATATTTTCCATATTTTTCGGACACAATGAGAAAAAATATTGAAAAACAATGAAGAAATGGGTACATTTAAGACTTTTTTGCTGACTTAATATTTGTTCAGTTACATAAACTTATGAAAAAGTGAGTGTTTACTACAACATATGGTTTATACTGACAGAACTGACAGCAAAAGTTAGGAAAGGGCATAAAAAAAGATGATTACAAAGTTATGATTGGGATCGAACACACTACCTTCCCGTTAGACAACGGATCAAGGCATTGCATTTTCACTGCGTACATGATATTTTAATTACCAATATTACAATTTTGAAGGTGTACAGAATATCCTGTGGATGCTATTATTTCAGCAAAATATTCTTATTTAAATTGGTAGAATATTAAACAACAAAATTTGCATAAATCTTTATATTTGAAAAAAACTCATTAAATACATAAATGGAGATATGTGACATACGTATGTTTAAGTAATTCATCTTTAGTGACGGGCAAGATTCTTTTTAAATTTATTAAACCAAAAAATCTATTATTAAAACATAAAATTCGCCTACCATTGGAATAATGTTTCTTACATAGCAAAGCAAATGGACATATCTGTGATTACATTTTTTTTCATAAGGTAAATGTTTAATTTCAAATTAAAATAGAATTTTATTACTAAAATATTTATGTAAGATGCTACTTAGATAATTAATAACTTTCGTGAATATGAATATGTTTTTTGAGTGACATGAATTTTAAAAATAAAAAAAATTATTATTTATTTACTATTTTATTTATGATTATCTATTATTATATTTATTATTGAAAGCAAAGTACACAATAGAAAATGAGAATTTCTTCAAGTTCAATGTACTGAGAAATGTAAAAGGTGTTCGTTAAAAAAGCAGTAATATATCAGAGAAAAAAAATAGTAAAATTATTTGAAAAATAACCTTCGGATATTTATTTTAAACACATAACTTTAATAGCCTTTATAACTACTCTTAATTTGTTTTAAACTTTTTAATAGTCTTTAACATACAACTTTATTACAATATTTAAATAGAAAAAACTGAATCCCTTTTGTATATTTTTTTCTTACACTCTAATTAGAAGCAAAAATATATTCGGGTATTTTTTAAATTGCAAAAAAAAATCAGTCGAATAATTACTAAAAAATATTTTTATCGGAATTACATTTGTACTAAAATGAAAAATCCGAAAAAGTAGTTTTTTTCCTTCATATTCAAAAGTGTATCAATAATTGTTTTCATAACTTAAAGAATTTCAATGAAAAATAATTGTGTAATATCTGCAAATGAGAAAAATATTCTAAAAATTATTGTTTGAATTATTGTATTTTGAAGGTTTTACCTATAACGACGAAAAAGTCACCGGTGTTTCATGTAGCATAAAATATTAAAATGCCTAACATAATATTTTTCTCTTATTTTTTCTAAAATTAATGCAAAAAAAAATCTAAATAAAATTAAAAATTTGCTTAGTAAAAATTCTGCAGTAAGGGATTAGTGAAATTAATTTATTTGTTTTTACTTTTTTTAGCTTACGTTTCACTTCTGCAATGGGTTAAACCCTTCTCAGAGTAGTCCACCACGAAGAACTCAGTTTTTACTTACTTAAATAAATATTATAACATTTAAGGATTTTCTTCTCAAATAGTAATTCTTAAAAGCATTATAGTATTGTTACAATATTTAAATCTATATCAATGTTTATTTGTGTGTATAAAATATGCTACTAGATGGCACCAACGTGTCTTCAAAAGCTAAAAATTATGCATTGACTGATAATTAAAAAAGAAACTTTTCTTGAAAAGCAGTATTTTTATCACAAAAAATTATCGGCAATCACTTTCTTAATACCTGATAACAAAATATGTGTGTTTATTGAGTTCAAACATTGTTATCGTTAAATCTGTTTTCAGAAGGTAACATGAAATTAGACACGACGCATTATTCACTGCTAAACATTATATCTTAACTGAATTCAAGAATAAATTTTTCGGTCGTGTTTTTCTTGTTTATCATAAGGGAATAAATATGAAGACGACAATTATTTCCATATTTCTTTTTGTCTATTTCTTCGCGGTTGTGAAGGGTAAGGATGATATTATTTTAGAAGATGTCTCTAAAGTAGTGAACGAAAGAAATGGAATCGCTCTGCTCAAAAATCAAAGTGCCGGTAAGAAAATTTTGCTTCCTTCTCTGTGTACGAACTTATTTAACTGACCAGTTTCGGGTAATTTTAAACCATATGGACCATTTAAATAATATATAGTCTATAAAATAAAATAAAACTAAATTGTATGGCTTATTTATATGAATTCGCAAGACGTTATGCTTTTAACTCTTTAAGGCAAAGGTACTATTTTGAAAGTACTTATTTTATTTGGATTGAAAGCTCGTATCAAAAGCGGTACAAAGAGATGAATTTTTAAAAACTTCTTATTCGGTCGGATTTGATTGTTATGGACTCAATCTTAATGATTCGAGGGCTAAATCTAACATGAGATAATAAATGAGTGATTATATTTTATGTTAGGGAATAAGACACATAATATATGCAAAAAGCTGAAATGCAGGGCCCGTGCTAAGGATTTCAAATTATTAGACAGTAAATTAGCCAAATATCGAAAGTCCTCACCAAAGAGAAATCTCAAAAATTTTTTACATTTATTTTCTTTCCAGCGGAAAAAAACATTCACAAATTCGCATTCCCAAATCATTTTCCTTCTAGTGGAAAAAATCATTCACAATTTCATTCACCAAATTTACGATGTTATCGCATTTGACGAGGTAGCGAGTGTTTATCTCGGGCCCAGCAAATGTCACACAGAAATGTGTTCGGCCATAATCGTTTCAAAAGACGTTAAAACTTGAAACATCTGATCAACTTAGACATGATTTCAATTCCCCCAGAAGGTAGCACGTACAGTGATCATTAATGGTGGTATCGTCTTAAAATAATCTACTTTATTAATAATTTTATATAATCTTCATCCCTTATCTGAATTGTTCCAATAATTTTGCCAAATTTGTAATAATGAGTTCTGAAGTTGATTCATGAGATGTGAGATCTGGAAGGGATATAAATAATTTTGTTCTTTAGTTGTCGACAATTTAGCTAGGGTGTTTGCATTTTCATTACCTGTTCTGTCGTCATGTGCTTTAATCCATGAGATAATTATATTTGTATTAAGGAGTAAATTTTGTATTTTAGCCGAGAGTGAATTTTTCGTGCCTGGGTTGATTAGAGAGTATAGAACTGATTTAGAATCCGACCAGATTGTATACTTCTTAGATGCCTTAAATGAAGTTTGTGATTTGATGTATCTAATGCATTCTAAAATAGCAAGTTGCTAAAATAGCAGTTGTGATCAAGACTAAGTTGTTACTATTAATTGTGTAATGTTTAGATTGAGTTATGTTGAAGAATGCAAAACCAATTCCAGTATTTGTTTTCGAACTGTCTGTGAAAAAATTGTATGGATCTAAGTGAACATAATTTTCATGTTCCGCTAAACTGATTAAATTAGTGATAGACTGAGAAGGGTGAAAAATTGGCATTGTTTGTTTTTCCTCGTAAGTACTGCATTGATAATTTATATTGTTATAGGAAATGTCTTTTTTAAGTTGAGTTATGATTATTGAACACGACAACGACGCCGCAATCTGTTCTGAGAGAGGTGGGAATCTAGCTGAGACTTGTAGAGCAGCTGTGGGAGTGGAAGGTAGGCCCTAGTGATATTCAGAAGAAATTTCCTTTGGATTGAGTCTAAAGTTCTTGAGATTCTAGGTGAGATTTTTTGTGCCTACGCAAATGAACCGTGGGCTAAAGAAGGGATTATTAATGTTTTATGCATGAGTTTACGAGTTCTGTAGTTTATACCCCAGGTTTTTGTATTAATTTTATCAAGAGAAGTGAGTAGTCGGTGATTTGAGTTTGTTTCTGTGTCCAAAACTTCCCAATTCGAATAGTTGAGGAGCTCCTGACTATTTGTTAGCGTTAAATCTGGAAAGGAGGAAGATCGAGTAGTAACAAAAGTTGGCGGGGCGTTTTGTGTGTTTAATATTTTTAGATAGATAGAAATAATAAGTTCATACAGGGTATCGCCCGGGGCGTCAGTGTTAGCGTAACCCCAGAGGTCGTGATGTGCATTTAAGTCCCCGCAAATTAGTAGAGTAGAATTGTTAGAGTATTTTGAGGTGAGAAAAAGTAGATCTTCAATTAATTGATTTTCATTGTCCGAAGGGGAATTATAAAATGTGATTAAGATTAGTGAATCTGGGTTGTTGCAAGAATTTATTGAGATTGCTACTGAATTATTCAATGAAATTAATTGCAGGGGTATTACTTATTTATTGAGAATAAATATGTCACTTTTTTTGTCCGTTGAGTGAAAAATGTTCCAAAATAAAGGGAAGCCGAGAATTTGTTTTTCGGGACAGTATGGCTCTTGGAAGCAAACTATGTCAATGTTGTGTTCCATAACTGTTTTTTGTAGTGTTGCCATTGCTGGATTACTCTTCTGAAGATTAATTTGTAAAATGTTTAAATTATAAAGGTTTGTTGATATAGTGAAATTTTTAATTTGAGTGAGATACGAATTATACGTCAGAGAAAAGATAACTTAAAGTAGCTTACCTTTGAGCACTCCAGACGAAAATTTTGACTTAATAAGAGGATGTCAAGGTGAAGTGAAGGATAAAAATATATGTTAAAAAAATTATATATAATTATTATCGATAACAATTATCATTTTTTTAGATTAAAAAATTAAATTAATGTATGTTTTTTTCTACTGTTAATTAATGAAAGAGAGTAGTAAATTAACGTTTTGAATTAGAATGTCTCGGATGAATCAGTAAGTGTCACCTTGAGCGGCATACGCAGAAATTTTGCAATAATCGTGTATCGTGAATAAAAGGGAACGTTCCTTTGCGGGTAGAATTTTCCGGCAGATCTAATAGGACGAGATTTGTAAGCATATTAATTCCGACACCAAAACTTATATAGATGTCTGGACCCATTTTTGTCAGGTTCTGTCAAAACTCACCCACGGATCAAGTGAGTTTTTGTCAACATTTTCTGGAAGTTCATTAACATACCTTTACCTAATTATATTGCAGGCGATTTTCCTTAGCCTCCATTGTAGATTTTGATAGTGAATCGCGACACTCAGAGAATGTGTTTCTATCCATAACGGGTATTACTAAAATCATGGACAATATCACATAAGCCACGTGACCATTTCCAATTGAGAGAAACACAATTTTAACTAGTTTTGCTATTGCAGTTATAATTAAAGAACGCGATGAAAGCTTAATTTGAGATTACCTCAAAACTTCATCGAATGATTACCAGGTTCAATAGAGTTATTTAAATTGCTTATTTGACGTGATGATTGCAGTTTTACTTAATCAAATTGACTCATATATATTATTTAAAAAGTCATATTTTAAAACACACCTTTTAACATTACGCTAACTATTTAAGCGAATGGAAACACGGAGGAAAATGGATTAAAATGGAAAATAATTGCGTATAGGAATTTACGGAGTTTTTAAAATTAATTTTATTAAAAAGATTATTTACTAAGGTTAATACATTCTGACTAAAATTAGTTTTATTGTTACTTTAGTTGGGTTATTCCACGGTAACTTACGTTACATTCCCAAAATTTTTATTGCACTGAGAACTTAGAAACAAACAAATAATACTAATACACATATTGAAATAAAGTGATTTCTTAAAATTACAATCAAAACCAAAAGGAATCTAATTAAAATAATTAATATTTTTCATTTTAAACAGTGTAAAAACCTAAAATTAGTGTGGTAACTTAACGTTACCAAAAAAGGAATTGCAAAAATCTGCAATATGCTTGAAGGCAAAATTCTGTTCTTATACAAATGTTAATTGATTAAGATTATATGCATCATTTTTCTGACATTTTTCTGCATGCCTAGATTTAAAATTTTATTTCAAAAGTTAAATTAAATGTAATTTTTTAAATGGGTAACTTACGTTACTGTAACTTACGTTACGAAATTCACTTTGTATGAAACTTTTATTCCAATAATGTACAAATGCAAATTAGGATATTTAAACAGTATAGTGCAAGGGAGAAAAAGTGTACATGAAGAATTTTTGATTTACACACTTGATTCACGCATTACTATGCAAACTTATAATGTCCTCTGTTATTAACTAGTACAGGGAGCTTAATTCTTTTCACCATGTTTTCTTTCTGGCAGAATATTCCATCTCTTTTTTCTAGCTATTTCCAATAGATTCCCACAGCAGCCATTACATTGACTTTAAATTCTTGCTCTTCAACAGACATTACCACATTAGGATACAACATGTCCTTGTATCTAATCGTATACCAATCCCCAGCTTTTATCTTGAATTCATCATTTTGTTTTTCAACATCTTTCACTAAGAAACCCTTCTGGTATGCCTTCTTGTACTTTTAAATGGTGGATCTGCTTAATGCTCTTAATCTGTGGAGATTTTGAGAATAGACTAGAAAGATGTAACTTTTGCTGTAGCTTCTTAATATCTTCTGGTGTGATTTCTACCACATTTATTTTTGTTGAATGCTCTTGTGTTGCTGCCGCAAGCTCAGAGGCATTGGTGACAATATGTTTCCTTCTCTATACGACATTTCTCGCACTCCTTTCAATAGATCAACCTGTCCCATCTACAGGACCTTTGCCGTGTGACGTGGCAAAATAATTTCACATCAATTTTTTCCCATGATGAAGCTCTAGAACAGGTAAGACCGAAACTATATATCGATTCTTGAACAGGCTGCTTGGCTCATCTGACCAGATGTAAAGATTTTTGATATCCAGTGGCAAAGTTTCCGAAATGCAATCCATATATGGCACTACCGTTTCTTTAGTGTGATCTAAATCATTACTTATGAAGGCCATAGAATGATGCTTTCCGGAGTACCATGATGATATGGTGAAAATACTGACTTGCTTCTTCGTCCAGTATGCGGTCCAGCGTCTTGGTATTCACACGAATAATTTTCTGCGAAATCTATTTGAGTGATTGAAGTGTCCTTATCGAATGATGGTAATGTCGCAGCTTGGACTTGCCTTCTGTAAGCAAGCGATTGTTCACGCTTGGTTTTAACATGATTTCGAAACTGTGGCTTCATGTTCTTTATGTGTTCAGACAAATATTCTGAATTTCCTTCTTCTAAAATTTTTTTCAGTTGGCCAGCATCATCTTCCTTCCATACATAACAATTCAAATCATTCAGGTTTTCTTTTTGGGTTATTTTGTTTAGTGAATCTTCAAGTTAATGAGAACAAGTTTCACATTCACCGGACCAGCACTCATCTGCTTTTTCTGAGCATAAAAATAAATATCTGAAGAATTTCGAAAGATGGAACATTATGGAATTTGCTGAAGGCTTCAGTAGCCAATCCGAAGTTTTCGTGATACTTACAAAGACAAACATTTCTTGGGAGTTTGATACTAAACAAGACATGCTTTGGACGGAGATCAAAGAACTTAGTTTTTCCAATTTCGCATTCTGAATTTTTTCCATAAAAATTTAGTGCATTTCTAGAACTGAATGAAGAAGATGCCGTGCTTGTACTTTCTTTTCACCACCATTGGCATTTCCAATAATAATCACATCCTTAACTCCTGGTGCTTGTCGAGAGAATTCGTCCAATTTCGAAAACATATGAATGCCAACACCCAATTAAATGAGTTAATGCAAATATTTTCAATAAAATTAATATCTTAAGGCAGTGTTTATTTATTTAAACTTTGGTATTGTAACTGGATACATCTTATTTAGTTTATATGCCAATTTTCAAGAGAAATAAACTCATTTTACATTGGTAACTTACATTACATGCATCTCAGTAACTTACGTTACACATATTGAATAGTGCACAAAACAATAAATGAGTAATATTTGAAAAGAAGACTATTGCTGCTTATTTAGTGTTAGCCTCTAAGAAAGAAAAAATATTATTCTTACTTTAGTATCACTTGATCTTTTTTACACATAAAAACTTTTCCTAGTTTTTGGTAACTTACGTTACATGCAATAATGTTTATTTGAAATTTATATAATTAAGTGAATTTAATAAAAAAAACTCATTTTTACACTGCACAATATTTCTATTAAGTGTAATAAGCAATATTTTTTCTTTGGAACATTTTGAAAGGAAAATAAAATTAATTTACTGATTTTCAAAATCTGACCATGTTCTTCACCCAAATCAGAACAAGCAAATGCCAATGTTCAATGGGTTGCCAATACTAAAAAACTAAATTCTCAAAAAAAAAATTATGATCAATTATCAAACTTCAAACCTTTCCAATTTAGAAAACATCCAAAATAATAACATTATTCTTATTTGAATTTTCCAATGCTTTTCCCCCTTTTCATGGAATTGCCAAGGTGCTTTTTTTTCTCAGTAACAATAGATTAAATAATTTGTCTTATAACTCGTCTACATAGTCTACGGATCATAGGGTCGTTGTTGTTGTCGTCGTCGGATATTAAGCCAGAGGGGGTGCGATTGCTCTTGTTTTCAAGTGGTGCCATCTATGGCCTAGATTTCAACTTCTGTCCCACCTATACGTCACACCCGTTTATAGGGTGGATCCATTCATACAACTATTGATCCACAGATTGTAATTTTAACCTGAACCAGCGAACGATCAATCTCCAAATCAGTACCTCCGGAGATATTGATTTGTTATAGGAGCGTGGAAGACTTTGCGTCCAGACAGATTTAATTTGCACCAGTCATCATTTACTACACGAAGAGGAAGTCTTCCGTCGGCTGAGTGCTGGACTCACGTTTGTCAGAATTCCCGTTCTTACGAACGTGAGTCCAGCGTCCTGCCAACCAGGCTATCCCGGCCACTGGTCATAGGGCTTACATACACTTTCACACTTATTCTATATTACATACTTCTATATTGCGCACTTCTATACTCTGTAAACAATCTTTCTTTTAGCATAAAATTTTTTGGAAAATTTCACATGGAAAAATATTTGAACGATCAAGTTTTTTGAAATGTTACCATTTACAATCATGGGAAATTCCAATCTACCAAAATAAGGAAATGAATTATCAACTTTTGCAAGTTTCAGAACAAGTATTTTCCCGTATTCACTCGATAGCATTTGAGAATTTAGGTTAGATTTTTTTTTTAATTTTAGTGGTGATAAAAAGAGAAAGAAGTTTTTAACTTCTATCACTCATCATGCATATATATATGTAATACAAAAATAATAAATACTTTTGTATTAATAAAAGAATTAAAACTCTTTCGGTTTCATGAAATGTCTTTGCTAAAGAGTAAGCGTAGAGCTATTCTATTTTGAGAATTCAAGGCTGAAAACATACCATTGAATAATAATTAGATTTATATTTGAAAGGAGGAGTTATTTTTAGAATTTTGGCCCCATTTCACTTCCATATTAGGAAGCACTAAATGATTTTCCTTACTGCGTAGATTTACAAAGGCATGTACGACTGGGACCGAAGTACACCAATATCTGTAGTATTTAATGTGAGAGCGATTGTTTTCGTATGACTCTTGCTGAATAACATGTTCCAATAACCGTCTGCCGGAACCATCCGGAGATTTGTCCACACCCCCTCCGGTGTGGAGTGGAGATATGAACTGTTGTAACCACCAGCCATCTTTAAATAAAGCTTTTTACAACGTATCATGGCTTTCAACTGCATTTCTTAATATGAATACCCCAATGATAACAGAGATGTTGCCCTGTTATTATATATATTTCACTTTTGAGGAGTGTATATATATATNTCCTAGTCGTGCACAGGGATCAGCTTGCGGCTTACATTGACTGGCGGGACTTCTAGCTTAAGGCGACTTTTAACTAACGGATCTGAGAACTGAGATCAGGTTACAGCTTTGTGTACAGGAACTGGCACCATATATACACTCCTCAAAAGTGAAATTGCAACACCAAGAAATAATGCACGTAGCGTCATGCAAATTTCAGGAGCGATAGTAGTGAGATGGATATGCAAATGATTAAAAAAACAGACTAATAAAATCATTATAAAGCAATGTATTCAATATCTAATGTGGCCACCTCGGGCAGCTATACAGGCCTCAATCCGGCGAGGCATGCTATCAATGACTCCATTGATGGTTGCCTGAAGTAACCTTGCCAAGCCA